CAACGCACCCGCAGAAAACCCTCCCGCCCCCCGGCCCCGTCTCCTGCCTGTGCCCAGCTGCTGCAGGCAGCGCCGAGGAAGGCGGGCAGCGCCATGTTTGGGCATTTCCAAGAGGAAAGTGGCTCCATGAAGTAAGGCAGCTCTCCGCAGGAAAGCTGAGGTGGTCTGAGAAGGGATGAGCCCGCTCCTCCAGGGCCTCAGAGTACCTGTGCTCCACGTACACCTTACAGACCGGCATCTCCCAACGCTCGCAGGGCAGCACCCCGCGCTCTCCCGCCAGGGCAGACAGGTCACCCGTGCTCCCGAGCAAGGCAGGGAGGATGTGGGGAGGAAGCCCGGCCGCCCTGTTCTCACCCTGCGTGCCCACCAGCACCATCGGCACCTCCGCTGTGTTCCGGTAGCTGCAGAGCCGCAGGTAGTAGTTGTAGACTGTCTGGAAGCTGATCTCGTCCTCCAGGCTGAAGACAAACACCACAGCATCGACCCAGGCAGCAAACTGAGGGAGACACACCAGCTGTCACAGCCCCACAAGTGGCCCAGAGCCCCGTGCCCAGAGCCACCGGAAAGGGCAGCCGCACCGCAGGCTCATGGGGCACTACGTCCGGGCTCAGGGAGTGCACGCCCCAGGCTCCCAGCACGAGCTCCCAGTCCTCCCCAGGAGCCCTCCGATCCCTCCAGCAGGACAGGGTGGTAAGGGACTGCGGGAGGCACTGGTCTCCTACCTGGAGTTCAGGGGGGCCCCCTTCATCTCGAATCAGCAGCAAGTAACTCTGACCATCCACTACAATCTCCTTCTTAAAGCGGCCACCTTGGAAGAGAGCAAAGCAGGAGGTCGAGTGAGTGGGGAGCGAGCAGGGGGAAACCCCCAAGGAAGGCCGGGGGGGCTCAGAGCCCTGCAGCAGCGTCAGGCGAGGTGCGGAGACAGGGGGCACCTCTAGAGACAGGGAGAGAAGCGAGGACCCAGGCCACCCCCCAGGTGCCCTGGAAACCAGACCTTACCCTCGGGAGACTCCTCCTGCACGTAGGTGCCGGTCAGGTAGCGGTGCACGAGCGCCGACTTGCCGCTGGACAGGTTCCCCACGATGCCCTGAAAGAGAGGCGTGCGTCACCCACTGCCCGCGTGTCCAACACGTGTCGCCCACCACCCGAGTGCCCAGCACACGTCACCTGCCGCCCGTGTGCCCAGCACACCTCCCTCTACACAAGGCCACCCCTGCAAGGCAAGACCACCAGTACCTGGGCGCGTGCCGATGATGGGCAGAGACGGTCATAGGAGGGCACAAGGGATGGCACAACCTGACTGGTACCCTGGCACGTGTCCGGTACAGCTGCTGCTTCTGACACCAGTGGCAAGGCCCGGTGCCTGCTCCCCGCTGCGGCAGCGCGCAGGTTTCCCGGTGGAGCTGTCCGTGCCGCCTGTGCCCAACACCCGTTTTTAACCAGGCTGAGAACCAGAGAAACCTCACACTGCGTTTTAACTGGGCTGAAACACAGCAGGGGGCTGTCAGGCTGGGGACCCTACGAATCTGCTACAGAAGGAACGCAGCCAGCCCAGGACGGGGCAGCCAGGCAACCCAGGTTTTCCTAATGTCAGCGTTTTCCCAATGCTTTAAAAAACCCACAGTGCCCAGGGGCTGGCAAGCGCGCTTGCCTGCCGATGGGAGAACAGTCCTGGCGTAAAGGGGCATCTTCCGACATCCATGCAAAAAATCCCGTTCCGACGGGTCAGCTTCTGCCCCACAGCTGCTCCCCCTCCCGCAGGGACAACGCAGCTCGTGGAGCGGGCTCTCGCTTTACCGAGCACCCCACCGCGTGCTCCTCTGGCCCCAGCTGCGGGGCTGCTCCGGGGGAGCTGGAGTGGAAACGCCGGGCGATGCAGGGGCACCCGGGCCTGCAGAGAGCCGCTGTTGGCCAGGAGCCCCGAGAGCTGCTCCGAACTCACTCCTGACACAGGCCTGCACAATTCCTTCCCCCGGCTGGTGAAGCCAGCGGGCAAGCTCTTACCAGCCATCCACCACCCAGAGCCCAGGAAGCCATCCTGGCCAAGCCGGGGCCACAACTCACCAGGTCTGGGCAAAGCGAGCTCCCACCCCTTCTCCATGCGGCTTCCCAAGAGCACCTTTGGCTTTGGATGGTCTGGCCTGACCACGGATCTTCTCGTACGCAACCGACTCCTGCTTTAGGGCACCCTACACCTCCTCTGTGTCTAAACCACGCTCCCATTGCCCCCACAAAGACATCCTAGGGGTGGGTATCTGATGCACCAGCATCAGCATCTAGAGCCCATGCTGTCCTGCAAAGCCCGGAGCCTTGGGGTTTCTCCACCACCGAAAGTTCACACTCTGTCCCACCGCCTTTTTGCTGCTGTTCCCAGCATACACCCACCCAAATGCTTGGTAGGCTCCCTCCTCCCCTGTCCCCAAGCTTAGTGAGCGTGGGCTGGGGGGACTTGCTGCTTCACCAGGATTTCAGGTGTCTGGTACATCTACCAGACAGAAGCCACCAGAGACGCCCTTGCGCAGACCTCCCAGCGGGGCTGCTGTGCTTCTGGAAAATCCACGGCTGCTTTGCAGCAAATGCCCAGCGACACTGAAGCGTTCAGTAGTGCGCTGCTGGCCCTGCACCCTTCCTGAACCCACCACAGGACCAGATTGCTTAGGGACAGGGTTTGGTGGTGGGATGGCAGGGTCAGGGGAACGGTTGGGCTGGGGGAGCTTAAAGGGCTTTTCCCACCTAAATGATTCTGTGATTCTATGATTTGCTGGGCACGAACAGAGCGCCTGCATTTGCTGGGGACACCAGAGTCCCCGTGGGGCTGCCGCACAGGCCCGGTGGGTGCGTTTCCCTGTGGGAAGTCCCAGTACAGTATCTTTATGATGAAAATTCCAAGCAGTTGTGCAGCACTGAGAAGCTGAGAGCGTTCGCAAAAGCAGCACATACCCTTACATCTACAAGAGACAAAATCAAAACCCCAAGTCCCCCCACTTGTCTCCAAGTGTCGCCTGGGTATCAGGAACTGGCACAAGGCACGGTGGTGTCAGCTCTCTGCTTGTTTGCTGTCACGGTAGAAGCCTCCTCCCCGGCTCTGTCGAGACGCGACTCCTGGGAACATGGACATGGCAGTGCCGGCGCTCAGGGACGAGGCCGCACAGCTGAGCAAGGACCAGCTCCTTCCCGAGCGGGTGCTGTACACCGTGCCCTGTCCCTGTCCACAGCCTGCCCGAGCCCGGCCCCCCCGAGCACCAGGAATGACCACTGTGTGCCCAGCCCAGACCCTGCCCGCAGGGGACGTGGCACCCCAAGAGACCCAAGCCCCTCAGGCTGTGCCCGCTCCCGCACCCCGGAGCCAGGGAAGGGGACAGCCGGCCCCACGTGTCCCCAGTGCAGCCTGCTCACACCAGGGGACCGGACCGAGAGCCACACTGTCGGGGCAGGGCCTCCAGAGCCCAACACCACGCTCCGGTAACACTTCCCCATGATGTCCAGGCGTGGGCCATGATGACTCCAGCTCCAGCCACTGGCTCTGCCCTGCTTGCCAAGATCCACTCCCCACCTCAGTGCCCAGGAACTGTAGGCAGGTCCTGCGGACAGAGCCCGTGGTGACACCCCGGTGGCGGGCTGCGGCACTGCACTGTGCTGCCAGAAATGGCCTAACTGCAGCAACTCACCGCTCCGCTCCACAGAGGGACTGTCCCCACCGCACCCCACGCTTGCCCCCTGCACCCACCTTGCACTGCGCCCCTGCCTGTGCCACCACCACGGCCCGTGCGACTGCGGAGCGAGAGGAATCAAACGGGCCCTGTGGCCTGGCGCTCGTCTGCGGCGCTCTTTTCCACGCCACTCAGTTGCTGGAGAGCAGGGCTGTGGTGTGGCCGCACGCAGCCCCCCCGGCGCCGACAGCAGTGGGGAGCAAGGAGAGCGGAGCGGCTGGGAGCACTGCAGCTGCCTCTGCCACCACAGAGGAGTTTTCGGCTGGCCTTTTTCCGGCCAAGGGGTGGGCCGGCCACTGAG